CCCTCCCTCCTTCAAAACTAGTGGGCAAAAGGCAAAAATGCAGCTGTACCAGGATTGTGCTGGGTACAGGCAATGCTGCAAAGCTCCACTGCACTCTGGTCCACCAATTTGCCTGCAATAGACATCTGCAATTCCGGCTCATAAGATCCTCCCAAATTATAGCAATTTGTGTAATGAGTCAGTCCTGGAAATAAACATCCAGCTCCCGAAACTCATTTCACTTATGACATAAGCCAGGATTAAAATCCTAGACTCCAGCAGGAAGACACAAAGCCCAGCCATTTTGTTGCTCACCTCTCTATTGTTTGTCTTCAGTGCACAGATTACTCCATGGGAATCACTTCTTTCCTCGTGTCTAGCCTCTGTACACTCGTGTGATCTCCTTATCTCATGACCTTTTTAAGGTGTTCTCATGATGCTTGTGAAATGAATTTTTTCACGAGTAAGTTTTAATGTAATCCTAGAAACTGAAGATTAAGAAAGTTTTACAAGCTGTAACTTCAAGTAGTCTGGATCATAAGTTTAGAGACTAATTTAAGCTCAGGCTCTTTGCTTTCATAAAGAATGATGTGTTACTTCTGGACCAAGCAGTCATATGTGCTGCAGCCATCGTTTGGGTCAAGGACGCAGTCCTACTAACAGGAAGTAACGTTGAGCACTCTGCCTATTCAGGGAGGGTGTCTGCATGATGTTTAGGATGCTTGGTGTATAAGTCATTTCAAAATCCTACGCAAAAGCTGAATAATATATTCCAGAGGCTGATGATCTCATTTCAAAGAGCTGTTTGAGGGAGAAAAGGACTCAAATATATCCTGGGGTTTTTTCTGGCTTTGAGCTTGCAGCAGCTCTTCCTTTGTTCCAAACCATTGCAGTTGCAATGAGATTGCATGGCTGGGATTAGAAGGCTGTGGTAAGACAATCAGAAGAGAAAGAGCTTCAGGGGCTTAAGATAATGTCTTTCTACTGAAGTTGCCAGTTGCCTCCCCAGCAGAGCTGATGGAAAAATATGCGTATGGTTCAGCACAAACTCTGACTTTAGTTTAAACTGATAAAGGAGGAAGGAATGGGACTTTCAGCTCAGTTAGCAAGACTCTGACCTGAAGCAGAGCAGGAGCGCTCTCACGGTCTGTTCCACCAACCCTGCTAAGGGCAGTAGCTTCTGCCAAAGGGAAGAATGAGCAGTGTAGGAGAGAGAACTTTTTAAATCTCTTCACAGACATCCTCCATGTCTTTTCTGACCAGGTGTTTAGCTTTGTTGTCGTCTTCTGCTCCTGGTAAGTCAGGCATAAACCTTCACTCCGTTGGTGATACTAAACTCCTCCAGGGAGATCCAAGGAAAACATCCAGAGAAAAGAATGTTGTTTTCCTTTAGATTAACGCATGCCAAAGGCAAAATGTATTATAATACTGAATCTTCAACAATGCATACCAAATATAGCTGGAAGTTGCTTAAATAGGATACGTGGCTCAGTGGATTCCAGTTTGTCCCAAATAAGCAGCTGCCTGATTTTTTTTTAAAATAAGTCCATCTAAATGTTGCTAACTATTGTAACCATATGTCTCTCAGACATAGTTCATTCAGCTTAAATGTTTTGTGACCACTCCCTGCTAAGTGACCAATTTTTAACTGTTTGGAGGAAAACAGTTCTTTGATTAAAAAAAAAAAAAAAAGGAAAAAATAAAAGAGGGGAGGGTGGTATTTTTATATTCAGTAAACAGGTTAAATTAGTAAATCAATGATCACTTGAATGGTAGAATGAGATGGTGTGTAGCTGAGCCTGTTTCATTGCTAAAGATTCTTCTACTGGAGATTTTCAGATATTTTGTGCAAAGAAACTAACAGCT